GTTTCTGTTACTGGGAGCAGTTCCATTTCCTAAGGATGTTCCTAGGTTGAAGCTGCTTGGTGTTGGTGGTGTGATCACCCTCAACGAGCCTTATGAAACTTTGGTTCCAACATCCTTATACTATGTGAGTGATTACTGCACGTTGTAATTGTTTTCATGGTGTTATTTGCTGCTGAATATCTGCATTCTATATAGATGCACTTGCATTTTTGTACCTTCACTTGATTACGTAAGTTCATCACAGCAAGAAACAACGTAACTATCAGGATTTCTTCAAGACGTAGCTTGGAATTTGCATTTGAATTTATCATGATGCTCTTGTATTTTCTTTTCCAGTTGCATCATTAACTTTGCCCTTGATTCTATATACGATGTTCTGTATTTTCTTTGCTGCAATGAAAATTTTGCCTCTAGCCTTTGCTTTTTAATTTTTATCTTCATTTGCTGCAGTGAAATTTTTTATGGAAATAATATTATCCAGCTTCAATTTTTTACTTATGAAGCTACTCGAATATGTGTGAAATACCTTTTAGCTAAGCTTCACGTCAAAATGCCATATGCATAGATATTGCTTTGAAAAATGATTACTTTTCATCCAGAATTCTCCTCTGAAATAAATTCTGTTGACAGAACAAATCCCAAGGATCAGTTATGTTTCTTTTCAAGTTCTTGTCTATTGATTCATCTCATCTTTGTTGTTGTCTGCAGGCACATGGAATAGACCATTTGGTCATTCCTACCAGAGATTACCTCTTTGCCCCTTCATGTGTGGACATTAATCGAGCTATTCATTTCATTCATGGTCAGTGATCTTTCTTTGATTGTGAATCTACTATTGTTAAGTTTGTAGATTGTCTGGAGTTTTGTTGATGCACAATTTTTTTCTTTTTTCGGTTGTCTTTTTTGGGCGTAGAGAACGCATCTTGTGGGAAGACTACTTATGTACACTGTAAAGCTGGGAGGGGAAGGAGCACAACCATTGTGCTATGCTATTTGGTAATCGTTTTTCTTGTTTTTGCCTGGTTATTCATCTATTCCTGAACCTAAAATGCCTGAGTTAATTATTTGTCAACCTCTTTTGGATTTTTTTTTGAAAAATAGTCAAATTGAGTTGTATATATATTTTTTTGTGTGTGTGTGTCTGTGTGCAGGTTGAGTATAAGCACATGACTCCTGCTGCTGCACTGGAATACGTGCTGTCTAGAAGACCTAGAGTGCTGTTGGCTTCTTCTCAATGGAAGGTAAGAAATAAGGTTTCCTTGCCTTTTTCTTGAAAAAACCAAGTACTAAATCTGTAAGTAGGTCCTCAATGTCTATCATTGGTGGTCGAGAAGAATTGTTATTGAAGTGCACTAAAAGTGTCGTCATTTCTCTTTCATGACCTTTTCTCTTTGTTCTATTCCAATTGATGATTCTAATAAGCAGGCCGTCCAAGAATTTTGGTGGCAGAGATTAGCTCCTACTCCACTGTCTCTCTCAGGAGATGCTGTTCTGATTACAAAAGCAGATTTGGAAGGGTATCATAGCCCTTGTGGTAGTGATTCCAGCAAGGAGCTGGTAAGTGTCCCCAGAGTGGCAAGGACTAGACCCATGATAGCAAGGTTATCCTGCCTCTTTGCATCCCTTAGAGTTTCGGGTGGCTTCGGACCTGTCTCAAGGCAGCTGGCAGAGGCACGCGCTTGCTAAACCCCGCACTTTTTATTGAGCGGGTTGTTTGTGCAGAAAAGCATTATGTTAAATGCATCATCTATTTTCCCTGCTTCCGATAGCCTTGTGTTTATGAGCGAATGAGAACTAATAGAAATTAAAGGAAGGGGACAGCTGAAGCGCTCTGCAACATTGTGTATGCTGGAGTTAAGGTATGACTTTAGTTTTTACCTGTGTAATATAATTACATCAGGTTGTGTAATTCATACTTCATCAGCTCATAAACATATACTAGTGGGTCATTTATGTATTCTGCGACCTCCATGGGTCATTTTCAAAGAGTGTGTCCATTCCATTCTGAACACTCATTTACCTCCACTGTCAACCCTCCAACCCGTTGGGTTTTATATTTCCATGCATCAGTTAGGACCTTACGACGGAACATATTGCTGCTATTTATTTATTTTTTTCCCCACTTTTTGTCATAGATTTATTAGACCTCTTTACTGGGAGCAGGCTACCATGAAAAGAAAGTTCGTTTCAAAGAGATACAATTTTTAATCTTGATTATCGACTGTATGTTGAGGTACCCCCTGATCAAACGCTTCCAAAGTGATAGAATTGTAATCTGTGGCAGCGTGTTAGTAAACCAATGACACAAATTCTTTTTTTTTTTTTTGACTCGTGATAAAAAAGGGTGGGACAAAGGAACGTGTCCAGAGACCATCTCCGATAAGTCATCACGGGTGAGATCATGAGGTACTTGATTGTGTCCGTTATTCTTTTTGAGAATGAACTTAATTAGGTTAGCGTAGTGGTCAACGATCGAATTTTAATGTAAACTCTAAAATTTGAATTTTTAATCTCAGGTGAGTTTCTATGCATAGTATTCTGTACCCCATTATTCTAATTTGGGTACTCTGCTTATAGTGTCATAATCATCATACTTATGGTACTCCTTTGACACTCCGAATTATGAAGTCTTTTGGTGCCAAATGTCAACAGAATTGAAGCATGCTCACTGGATCTAGTTTTTCCCAATGGGAAGAGGGATTGAAGCAGCTAACAGAATTACGAGATGTAAACCCACAATATCCCTTCCAGGATGTGAGGGTAGATTGTGTTAGACATGACTTGCAAATTTGATCCGGATCAAAACGAAGTTAGCGGATTCTAGTTTCGTAAGGTTTGAGTGGTACCGATCAGATGATTAAGTCTATAACGAATTCAATTAAATGTGATACAAACTCACGACTTAACATAAAATGTATACAAATAAAATGTTCAGAGTTGTTCGATCATGATACGATACACAGCTTAACATTTTTAGGTTAGGGGTTGGCGTCCCTGACTAAGCTAGTGTGCCTAGTGGTTGTAGACCAGCCAACCGTAAGTCTAATTTTTGTAGGAAAAGACACTCGTAGGTCTACGAAGTCCATCACACTCTGTCGTGGTACTTTGGATTCTGATCTAAGTCCTTAGGCCCCAGACGATAAAATCAGCTCTGCATTAGGAGTTCAACTTTGACTGGCCATTCAATTTCCACTTGTGTTCAACTTAAGAAAAAAATAATAGGACTTAGAGTTGAAATTTTAAAATTGTGAGATGGACCTAGGTTCAAAAACTCCGATTCAAATTAAATTCAGGCAACATCCTAGTCGAACTATCGGGTTATCGAATTCAACTTGAACCAAAAAAATTATATATATATATATATATATATATATATATATATATATATATATCTGTGTGTGTGCGTGTTTGTTTTTCGTTTTTGCTCTCTACCTCATGCACCTCTCTCACTCTTGTTCTTAGCCCCTCTCCATCTCTTGGCCTCCCTCTCACTTTCTCCTTATGCCAAAGACCATAACGATGGTTAGATCTGATGACTGTGTGAGAAACGGTTGTGGTGTGGTGGTTGTGTAGGCAAGTGGCATGGTGGTTGTGTGTGCAGTGGTTGTGGTGGTAGTAGCGGTAGCTATGGGCAGTGGTTGTGGTGACAATGGCGGTGGCTATGGGTAGTGGTTGTGGTTATAATATTTTGGAAGTTTTTGTTTAATTTCTTTGTGTTGTATTCTAATTGAATTGTGTAATTTTTTTATCTGATTTATAACCCGAATTTAACATGAATTCAAACCCGAAATTAGCCCGAATTAAGAAACTCGAATTCAACTTGAACTCATCCAAATTTAACTTGGGCAATACTCAAGTTGAGTACCTCTAATTGAAGTCGAAGTAGGGTTCTCGGGTTAAATATTATATTTGTAGGATTGATCCTTCGGCCCGTCTAACCCGTCCGAATTGCACACTTACTCTGCATACTGCTATTGGGCCGTACAACGATCACCAAACTTCCATGTGGTGGGCTTCTCAGTGCGAAAACACAACCAAATTTTGGTTGCATACATACATGGATCAGACTACGATACCCAGAAGCAACTTGTGATAATTATCATGTGGGGTCCATGAAGACACTGGACCTACTTTTTTAGTTTTTTTTCTAAATGTTAAATCCATATAATTTCTGCCTTTTTAATGCGGGACAATGTTTGTTTATCTAAATTAGATATGTCAATCAATGAGTCAGAGTTTATTGGTATGCTCAATGTGATGTAGTAAGGAGTCGTTAGTTTCGTGTCTTGCTAGAAAACTTGTTTAAAAATAGTGAGAGGCACTTGAATTTATAATAAATGACGACTGAATTGTAAAATATTAGTACTGAAATGTATATCAATTCGAAGAAGACCCCTTTTCCTATGGTGGAGTTGGGACCATTTAAGTGGTATCCCCTATTTCTTTCCTTTCCTTGATAAAGATACTAGATCCACTATTGGGCCGTTTGGTTCGTGGAAAATAAAGGGGAAAGATGTTGTGATTGGAGAAAAATAAGTCATGGGTTTACATTTTCTATGTTAGGTTATTTGGAAGTCGGTACATGTAATTAAACTTATTTAGCAAAAAATAAATAGAACAAAATATGTTAAAAAAAATACACAGCTAAGTTACAAAGACATAAATATCAATTTTAAGGTCATTTAATTCAAAAAAAAAGATTTCTTATCTAAATTTTGAATAATCTTTAATGCACCGTGATTCATGCGTATTTTTTTTTTTTTGAAAAGTAATTTTGTTTTCAAATTATATTTAATATGCCTTGATTCAAGAGTTTTTTTTTTTTTTGAAAAATAGTTTTATTTTTAAATTAATTTAATATCCGAATAATGTAATAATATAACAAAAACAGTGTAACAAATACGCTGTAATAAAAATAGTGTTCAGTAGTTTGTATATGTGGTAACAAATTCAAATTGTATGTTTGACAAAATTCAAGTTCAATATGCCTTGATTCAATAAAATTGTATATTTGACAAAATGTAATAGTACAATATTTTGTGTAAATAGTTTGTTATACTGTTAGTGTTATACTGTTACACTTTTATTGTTACACTGGTACACTTTTATTGTTACACTGGTACAATTTTATTGTTACACTATTACACTATTCGCATATTAAATTAATTTGAAAATAAAGTCACTTTCTAAAAAAAAATGGTGCATTAAATACACATGGATTAATGGAGGGCAAAAATGTCACAAAAAAATCAGTAAAATTTAAATAATGTACTTAGATACAAATAAGTATCAAAATTAAGGACTTAATTACCCAATATTTTTTTCTATGTATTTTTTTACAATTAAATCTAATTGAGTGTACCTCCTTCCAATTTTTACGTCCATGTTTGGCAAATTTTAACTCGGTAAGATTATAAATCCAGGCCCAAGATCATCGTTACAGACAGTCACATGTACATGTGATTATTTAAAACCCACTTGGGGTGGTATTAAAAATGCCCAATAATTGAATCAGAACTGTTTTAGAAGCATGGCTGCTACAATGGTCACCAAACAAGTCTACATCACATGGATTTATTTGTGGGGCTCCACAATTTTCATATATGCTAACCCACCACAAGATTGACTAGAAATAAGCCATTTCCAAATGCATGGGTTGGATTGGGAAGGAATGGGTTGGATGCAACACACCAATCCCATCCTATTCTACCCGACGAACCAAACGCCATATGGGGTTTCAAAAACACTCTATATCAAACAAAATTTGTAATTGAGATGATCTCTATCCAAACATGCTATACTTGAATAATGCTACCATAATATGAAAGAGATATCAAACCCTTCTCACTGACAAGAAAGGAAAAAGAGAATACATTATTTACAAACAAGCCTACAAATTTAATGTTTACAAACAGTCGATCAAAGTTTAAAAATTAACTATAAACAATTATTGGTTGCCTATAAACAATTATTTATAGGCAAGCCGTAAAGAATTTATTCTCAAGGAAAAAATATATCATAATGATTTAGTGCACGAGCTCCCACCAATGCAGAGTCACTGGTTTTTTCTTCCATGCAGAGACATTGTTTATGTGATTTGATTTTTGACGCACAAATCACAATAAAAATAACCTCACCATGGTATGGTCCACCTATAAGATCGGAAAGAAAAATGCTACTTGAACTTAAAATATTGATTTGATTCGTTGATTTGATTAATCACAACTATTGAATAAGTAAGTGAGTCTTAATAAATATGAGATTCATTGTTAAATAAATGATAGAGATTGATTAAGTCAATATTTTAATTTCATCTAACATTGCTTGACCGGAAAAAAATATAGGAAAAGAAAAATTATGGTTAACTGTATTAAAGGTCCTCAAAGTATGTGATTTCTCTCATTTTGATCCGCAATGTTTCAAATGTATCATTTTAGTTTCTGAAATATTGAATATATTTTTATATGATCCTTCAAGCAAATAAAGTCCAAATTGCTAACCAAAATTTGGATAGCTTATGATCAAAACTGTGTAATTTAGGTAATTATTTAATTAAAATTTGAGTAGAAATTTTGTCAAGAGTTATCTAAATTATTTTTTTATTCACATTTAAGTATCACGTGACAAGTGTATGATAAAAAATCGTTAATAATCTGGACACTGTTTGTTTGAGAGACCATATACAAATATATTTAATATTTTAGTAACTAAAATGATATAATTGAAATATTAAAGACCAAAATGAGACAAATTCCATATTTTGAGACCTCCGTTGTAATTAACCCGAAAAAAAATTATGAGACCCATCTTTGGCTAAACTTGGTATTGGGTCTTCCTTGGCTCTCTCCTTGTAAGAAGCTACAGGGACTCATCGTTATGTAATGGTCATCTTCATTCTCAGTATTGACAAAACTGTCCAAATCTCATACGAGCACGAAGTACTGCAAATATCCACACAAAAAAAACATCTCTCTTTATAATATGAACCTTCCTGGGTTCTGGATTTTTATGCAAGAAGAAGGTTAGTCCTTGTTGAAGAATCCCAGAAAGGTGGGTACAGCCATGTTGTGATATTCCTCATTGCACTATCACAATTCTCTCTGCAACTTCTTTATGGGACCGAATCTGCACACCGTGGAACCCTAACTCTCTCTCTCTCTGGTAGTACTCTCCCCCCCTTCAAAAGCATCCAAAATCTTTCATAAAGTGAAAGAAATTGAATACCAACTTTTTAGGTTGAACAGGACAGTTCATTTCTTTTCTTATATTGCATGTGGAAAGAGACATTTACCTTCTTATTCCTACGTATCCTCTACCATACCATAACATATATAGGCTTTTCCTTCTTTGCTTGCTCTCCCACAGAATAAGGCATCTGTGTCCCCAGGAGATATTGGTCATTTCGGGACTTAAAGCTTATTCTTGTCCTCTCATCAGTCCTTGTTCTGAGTCTTTATTCCCTTCAGAAACTACGATGAACCTCCCTCACCTCCATGTTGATTTAGCTAATTAGCTTTTTTTCATGCACGTCCCCTTATAAAGAAAAGGCCTACCATGCACGTTACCCTTTCTCTCTCTCTCTCTCTCTCTCTCTCTCTCACTCTCTAGTTCTCTCTCTCTCTCTTGTGGGATTTAAGCATATCTCTCCTCTAATACTGCAGAAAAAAAGCCCGAATGAGGAATAGAATAAAGCGAAAAGAAGCTCTAATAGACAACAAATTGAGTGACATAAAATGTGAAGTCTGCTGGTACTATACGAAGATTCCAAATTTCCAAAAAGAGAATTTAACCAAACCCAACTCGCTTCCCCCACTTTATGCTGGATAGATGCCAAGGACACCCATAAATGCGCTCTGGGAGGAAGGATTCTATCAACTTTACTGTACAGTAATATTACATGAACTTACAAAATAGATTTTATAATTTTAACTATTGAATAGGTAGTAAGTCTCAATAAATGCTGGGATCCACAGTAAAATTAACGATTAAAATTATCAAGTCTAATTTTTAAGTCTATTTTTTAAATCCGTATAGCATTATTCATATCAAAATGATCTCAAGTCTAAGAGAATGTACATGGAATTTGGTGCTCACCGTGCTCTAGCGTACTAATAGTTAGGATCCAATCACATCAAACTTGAATCGAATTTGAATTTATGTAAAATACTTGGGATAGATCCCAAATTGTTTCATGGCTAATTAATATTTTTTTGGAAAAGTGAATTGAAACTAACTTACATGCACTTCAATTAATTCTCTCATCGACTTAATCAAAAATAGTTCATCCATGTTGAGATTAAATTTTTCATAAAAGATAAATCTTCATAGTTTGGCCCAAGGAATAACCAAAATTCAAATTTAAGATGTATAAATTTATAGTTCGTCTTTATTATCCCTTAAATTACCCTTAAGATTTGTTGAATTAAGGTTTTAATCCACTCTAGGTAAGTCTTTTTAATATGTACAATAGACAATTTCACATATATTAGACAAACTCCAAAAAAGCAACCGACAAGGCTTTGTTCAAGTCAAGTTACTTAGCTTAGAAAAAAAAATGGCAGAAATCTTGCCAACATCCAAAAAACAGACCCTAGAGCAGTAACTCAAAAGTCTCTATAGAGCTTGAAGCATACTATTTAAAGGTTGCCTCCGAGGTTCTGTTCCTTCCATGTCGATAGCAGATCCCACCCCTAGGTATGATATAAGTCCTCGATCAGATTAAGGTTTCTTCTTTGTGGTATTAAATATGCAGTTCAGCCTTGACTCAAGAATTAGGGCTCTGAGCCCGCTTAGCAAGTTGGCCCATGAAGATAAAATCTCGTAATTGGAAAGAGGTCGATCTAAAGATTTGGAATAAGCCTTGAGTCTCTATCCCTTAGGGGAGGGAACCACTAAATCAAAGTAGCTTGGGTGAAATTCCCCAAAGAAAGGAAACACTGGTTCCAAAAGGAAAAAAAGATTTTAATTTATGAACTGAGTTCTCGGATGTCATGCCATCACAACTACCGAGAGCTCTTCCTCCTCGAAGGACTATTGATCACTAAATTGAGTTGGCTCCAGATGCAAGGTCCCTGGCTAAAGCACCTTACTAGATGGCTCCTGTCAAATTAGAAGAACTTCAAAAGCTATTAAAAGAATTGCTTGAAGCGGCTGTTATTCAACCCTCCAAAGCGCTATGACAATAAAGAGGATAACAAAATAACTCTTTTTTGTTTGGTGAGGAAATAAATTTTTCTCGCAAAAAAATAGATATTTTATAATGACGATTAAAACACGCCACAAAGATACACCTAAAGATTATCCTCTATCTGAATGCCTAGTCTATAACATAGGACAGGATGAATATAACAACTCATATGATAGTATTGCGTCTTAAGTATTTGAATCATTATTATGATGCATGGGTAACATATTCTTCCCCCATAGATGGCTAATTTTTTTTTTTTTTTGTAAGATTGCTATAATTAAGAAAGGAACAGATGGAGATGCCGGAAAATCATATTAATTTCCTATTCGCCTACTTGATCTTATCTTTTGATATACGAATATTGTTGGTTTATTTTTTATGGAGTCTAGTTTGTATTTTTGTGATCCGGATGATGACTCGACCCGAAATAATGTTGTGTGGTTTTTAATGGAAATTTTTTCTGAGGCTTAGTCCATGGAGCGAAGGCTTGGGCCGATAGGCCCAAGCCGTAGCGCTCATGGACAAGTCTCGTGGGGGTTCGGGGGCAACGCCCCCGAGGAAAATTTTTTTGGGCCCGTTATACAGCCCAGTGCGTAGGACATATAAACCCTGTTGTTTTGGTGATTAGGGTTAATCGTGGATGTACAGCCGCTCTCTGTATTCAACTCTCTCAATAGTGAAATCCCTGCAGCTTCGTGGATGTAGGCAAATTGTCGAACCATGTAAAATCTGTGTCTTGTTCTTTTTTGTTTCTTATTGCTTTATATTCTTGATTTGTTCTTCGATTGTGTGTGTTTGTTAGTGGATTTAAATCGTGAGAAATCCCAACAAATATATGGATGTTGATACTATATAATAATCCATTTAAAATGATCTTATTATCTATGAAGCAAGGCTAAACGATGTTATCTAAGAATTGTCAGGGTATCAATAGCAGCAGAAAAGTAAAGGACCAAGAATATATTACAAGTTCTTTAAACATATTTTCATTTCTATAAAAGGGAAATCATTTGAGAACCCAAGAAGTATCATCTCCAAAAGTGATTGCCCACAACACTATTAAGAAAGTTTTTTTTGTTGCAATATGCACAAAAATCTATGGTATTTTCTTGTGAAAACAATTAAAGATATTACACAAAATAGATAAAAATAAACAAATAATTAAGAATGCCATAAAGATGATACTGTAATCATACTGGTGATGATTTTCATGCAGGATGGATTTGCTTTGGGTCTTTGGTTCTCCTTCTATTTGTCAGCAGAGAGCAGCCTTTCTTGGTTTCTTTTCTTTCTTTGCTTCTCTATCTTTTTCCTTTTCTATATATTCATCTTTCTTTTCCAACAAGAGTTGTTGTGCAGTTAGTTCAGTTGGGAAATCAGACCCCAGGCAGGTCTCCAGAAGAAACAGACAGAAAAAGAGTAAACTGTATAGATGGTCACTTGGCCTCTTCTTCGAAAGAAATTCAGGAAGGCTTCAAGTAATAATGATTTTGATAATGATGTTGTCTCTATGGGTTTTTTTATTGGGTTTTATTTTTGCTTCTACCCATGATGATCTGGGTTGTCAGGGTCAGGCCAGAAGTTTGAGTACTTCAACCATTCTGCCTCCTGTGTGTTTGGTAAGGAAGACTCCTGAAATAACATAAAAAGCATGTGAAATCTGTTAGAAAACAGTCTGTCTAAAAGCATGTCAAATCTGTTAGAAATTTGTGTGCAATATTCTTTTGAGTACTACTACTTGTAGTCGTGTTTTGAGTTTTGTTGTACATCTTGTGTTTTCGGATCAATAAAACGTTTATCTTTGAAAAAACAAAAAGTGAAATGACGAGAAAAACATAACATGCTTCAAATAAATGAGTTCAAATTCTAATAAAATCTAGCCCTAAGGTTTTTATAAAAAGTTACTGAGGAAACACAGCTGAAGCAACTTGCCTCTCTTTTGTACTCCTTCTCGATGGACACATAGTTTAATGTTGTTCTTCTTGTTTTATTTTATATCATATTTCTTAGGATGCTCACAGATAAGAAAAGTTTTGGGTCACCATCTTCTTTTTATTTTTTGACAACTTTTTTTAAACAACTTGTGTATCTTCCTTTTTGTTATTCATTGTATCATTTGAGGCAAACCAAATATTAGGAAGAAGCTCTTTCCTATTCCTTATCATTTTCTTTAGCACTTCATTTTGTTGGTCCGTTCTTATTACCAGCAATCTCAAAATTAAAAACATCTTCGAACAAGTTTCAGCTTCAATTTTTCTATACATTTGTCCGTAGTCTTGAAGAGAACAAGAAGGAAAGTGTGAATAGAAGAAACAGATAGAAAAAAATGTACCATGGTAGTATGACAAAATAAAGAAACAAAATAAAAATAGAAAATACAGTTTCCCTATCTAATTTACTTTAACTTCATAATTTGGTGGTAAAATAAAGGGAAAAAATAGAAACATTCTTCTGTGAAGAGCTTTATTTTAAGCAGTTATGCAAGTTCACAGAAGCAAATGGGTTTATTACACAAGTTTTAGTATCATATATGCATGGGAGCCGAAATAACCCAGAAAAGGTATTTAAAGATTGTTCTTTGATTTTGGACAATTTTGACATCATGGTCTGCAATCAAAACCACCGAAAAATAGAAATGGAAAGATGAAAGAGCTAAAGAGCAAAAGCAAAAGGCTTCTAGTTCCTTTCTTTAGTTTAAAATAATAGTGTTATGAAGAAGAAGATATTTCTTTTTATGCTTTGTAATCCTGGTGCCTTTTCTTTCTTGTAACTTAACTTGATATTTCAACAAACAAGGTTCATAAAATTGAGGGTCAAAAAGTTCATACTCACCTCTTTAATGTCAGTTGAAGTGCAGCCCATAATGAGTTCCTCTAATCCAGATGCAGACCTTCCTCCCAGCTTATGATGTTGTTGTTGCGGTTGCTGTGGTTGATGTTGCTGAGGAAAAATAATAGTCTTTTAGAATGAAGGGCTTAACTTTGAATCTCAGAAATTAGTTTTCCGTGTCGTACCTCATTATTTCATACAATAATGACTCAAAACCTATAATTTTTTTTTTCATTGTTTTACTTTAGTTTATTGTAATGGTAAAAAAAATTATTTGTGGTATGGTTGTCCATATCATAAACTTATCCTAGAACAAAAGAAAACATAATGATCTATATGATCATGCATTGTCTGCAAAAAACAAGAATTGGCCTGAAAGGGAAAATATAATTACTTGTTTGCGAGGTAGTTGACACTAGTTCTGTCACCGACTCTTCCACTACAATCCTAAGGAGCAATTTAATATTTTTAACTATGTAGCCTATCATTTTGCATATTATCTAGGTGAAAACTTGGCATGAACTACTGAAAAGGTTGCATGTAACAGGAGATTGAAACAGAATATTAATGGGTTTGAGTTTAGTTTTGACATATATGGATGGTAAATGGGTGAATACAACACGACATGGATTGAGTAAATTTCGACATGACAAGAATTATACAGCTTTAAAACACAATATGACATGACACAGCGCTCATTATCAACCTTACATGTATAACACAGTCTTGGTGGTTCTCAGGTTATATATAGGAAAACATATAGAGATTTGCTTGCTTTGTTACCTGAAAATTTTCGTTCTGGAGCATCATTCTAGAGACATGGAAGGAGTCTTCATCTAGAATAATGGAGGTGTGATGAAGGGGAGGAGGAGAGATAATGGTGGATATGGAGTGTGAAGGTCTGCTTATGTGGAATGCTGTGGTTGCAATCTGATGAGGTTGATGATGATGATGATGATGTTGCTGATGCTGATGCTCATGGATCACGTGATGAGGCCCCGGGTTCTCGTGGATGTCACGTACTTCGCACGTGGTTGGTGCCGGAGGAGCTTCCCTTCCAACTGAAGCCTCCCCTATTCCTGCCTGCAAACAAACTTCCATAATCAATTTACTAGCTGGCTAGTCCATTTTCAAGGCTCTTCTATTCTTTCCTCAAGGTTTTTTTTTTTTTTTTTTTTAAGTTTTAATTCTCTCTTCTAGTTGCTTTTATACTTTCTTTTTTCTTTCCTTTGGTGGGTAAACAAAATGGGTAATTTAGTTGGGGACTTATAGTCAAGCAAGTGCAGTATAGTTTTCATGCTGTATATGTACAAGCAGTGTGAAAGAGAAAGCAACCATTGAGCTTTTTTCCTCCCTTTTTTTATTTTTTTTCTCTTATCACATGCATGTTATTTGTAATTTGTGACCCAATACAAGGTAAAGTTGCTCAAATCAAACTCTTTTCAAACGTTCGCAATGGTGAGAGTCTCTAACACTGAGCCACCCTTTAGTAAGATGTAGTGAGCATATAAATTT